CCAGGTGAAGGTTCCTGAGGAGTCTTAAATGCTTTTGAGAGATGAAGATGCACAGAAGTGTGGAAGTAAAAATCCTGTGGTCAAACACGCACACAAAGGTCTGTGTTTTCTTATGCGTAGGGGCCCCTCCAACCCGTGATCACTCCCACTCGCATGAACATGCACTTAGAGTCTCTGTGGCTCATCAGTATTTGCTGATGAGTTTATAGCACATCAGTGGCTTATTGTAGTTGTGCAGGGAGGTAGTGAAACAAGTCTACCTGTTGTGGAAGACACACTTGGGGTAGAGGGGTGTCAACCCATCAGCCCATGGCACATGGGATCCCTGTCCGAGTAGTTTTCACCTACAAGGGTACATGCAAATCTGGACAGCATGAAGGGAGGGAGGGAATGACACACAGCCTCACAAGCTGTACTGCAAAGCAAGCTCTGACGGAGGGACAGCTTCTCTGCCATCTTGCTTACCTGAAGTACTCTTGTCCAGCACAGAGTGACTTTCTGCCACGTCAGGTGTAGAGGAAGTAGGAACCTCTAGGACGCCCTTGGAAGAGAAATGAAGGGTGTGTCAGGCTCAGAGACCAGAAGGAACAGGATGGTGGTCCTGCTTATCTTCAGATGACACAGATAATTCTCACACAAATGTATTCTGTACTTTCCCAGATCCAAGATAGTGTCGCTGCCTGCCTGCACAGTTGGTCCTACAACCCATGATACTCCTAGATTAAAAAAGCACAGAAGTCCTACAGGATTTCACATTAATGGCTCACATGGGACAGCCTGCCTAGGACACAGCCAGCCAGCACCTCTGGGGAATACTGAGCTGCAAGAGTTTTCACAAGTAGAGGTGCAGACACAAGGCAAAATGGAAAAAAAAAAGTCAGTGAAAATTTCATTTTTTATTCTGAAGCATCTAGAGATGTCAGGCCTGTCATGTGCTGTACAATTACAACAGTTCCTTCCTTTGGAGCATTAAAGTAAGGTCAGAAAAAATGGGGAGAGGAGGTGATAAATATAAAATGCCTGTGCAATGCTGCTTATGCAAAGGAAGAGAGAGGCTGGAGACAGGGTTTCTCCCCTTATTCTGGCACAGACTACCCCGTTTTGCTTTGCTAGTCCTGCTGACACAATTGATCCAACACTCACCCTTTGCAAACTGCTTCCTGCACTAGGAGGAAGTTCAGGTCTTTCCTGCAGAGGGAATGTCTGTGTAACCCTCAGTCATGTCCTGCTGATGGTCTGTGTTCCTCATCCTAATGGGACCCTACAGGTTTAGCCCATGTGAAACCTGTGACACGTTACAACTGAAGCCACGGCCCATGGTGGTGAATATGGTAATTGTGAGCCTGCCGGCACTAGCAGCAGTACAAATGGGATGTGGATCAGGCAGGATACAAGTTTGCATTTGCCAGATTAGCTCATGACATATGTGCTTATGTTCTGCATTTCGGGCTAGTTATTGGAATGAAGACACCAGCCAATGGGGCAGGAAGGCTACTGCTTCAAAGTTAACTCACCAGGGCTGACTTGAACTAGCAGCTTCTGGTTTACATTGTGCCAGTACTTTGCAGCAACACACCTGGTACAATACTGGGATCCTGAAGCTGAAGTTCCTGTATCAATCAGACTCCAGGAGTCAGTGCTGTGTGCTCCCCAAATGAATTAAGAGACAAAACCTCACCCACAAAAAGAACAGGGCCACAGGAGATGAAGAGAGGAAGCCAGTCCTGGCTCACACAGCAGGATCTGCTTCTTTTCTGTAGCGCTTTTCATTCTTTTTAAAGAAGAGTCAAACATTTACACATGATCAAAGTGCAGGAATCTGTGTTGCTAAATAAACTCCTGTGTTAACTCCCACCTCCTACTTAAAACAAAAACATGTCTGTTTGTTATTATTACTATATTCAGTGGAAAGAACTTTCCATTCTGCTGTTGTAGAAATTCCTTCTCTCCCATTTCTTCGAACAAAGCAGAATTTCTGTGTAACGAGGCAATGTGCTCATTTCCTTCCCCAGCTCCTTCTGGATAAAATGACACTGAAGCCTGCAACTGTTCCTACTTTCTAGTTGGTAACTGTATATGATGTTATTTTTATTGCTTATTGCTCATTTTTCTTCCGAGCCTGAAGGTCCAAAGTCAAAGCACCACTCTGAGACTCCTACATCTTGTTGCCAAGAGGGACTTCAAGGCCATTTCACCATCCTCCTGGACAACAGAAGCCACAGAACTATGTCTACTTACTCCTTTGCTACGCAAATTCTGTGAGGGACAACAGACAACATACTAGAAAGACCTATCTTGATCAAAGACCTAAAAATTATTAAACTTTATCTTTCTTTCTGAATTAAAAAAACCCCAAAACCCGTATGTTTAGCACAGCCTAACACTCTGACTTTCCTGTCATGCAGCCATGGAGGAAAGAGGGAGCTGTCTTTCCCAGGCAGAAAATTAACCTCCTCAGACAGGTGTAGGAATTGGTATGCCACTCTCACCAGCCACCAGATGTGGTCCAGAATGGTCTCATATGTCTTCCACATCTGGTTGGGCCTCCAAAATGTGAGGAGATTTCAGTGACTCTGCAGACCTGAGAAGCCCCACGGGTGCCAAAATGACATTGGATCTTTTATAGTTTCCTCCTTTTTTAAAAAAAAAAAAAGAAAAAAAGGAAAGAAAAGATCCAGGATTTAAAAAGAGGTAAAACCTCTTCCAATAACTACTTCTCTCACCTGGTCCATGATCCTTGACATGGTGCCACAGTGATTCTTACGAGCAGGCAGGTCCTGCTCAACCCCAGGTATGGAGGTGGAATGAAGGATGAAGAGCAGAGATGGTTGCTAAGGAACAACCCTCCCTCTATCTATGAGCTGTGGTCTCCAAGGGAACCAGAAGAAACATGGCAGAGATCAGGGTCATCCTTGCTGATTGAAAAAACAAATAAGGATAGTAAAAGGCAAGATTTTTTTTTTCTGGACACCTCTGTCCAGAAGTTCTCATCACACACAAAGGATTTCTTGGAGACTTTTGTAACACAGTCATGACAATCAAGAAGCATCTCCATGTACTTCACATGAGCTCACTGACACTCATCAGAGGAGAAGGGGAAGGTGCCCAACTTTTTCACATTAGAAATTGGGAGATGGTGGGCTGGCAAAACGTCTCACATTGAGTCAATGACAGAACCAAAGCTTAGATCTCCTGTGTCCAGCACCCAATGCTATATTTTAACCCCAGACTTTCATCTGTTTTGCTCCACCATGGACCTGAGCTCTCACCAGGCCACCAGAATTTCTACAAGTCTCCAGGGAAGAGTGCAACTCTTCTTCATGTTGCAAAGCTGCTTTTCCCACTCAGCACAAGCTGGTCACAGGCACAAGAGAAAAATCAGAAATATTCACAGATGTATCATCTTAGAAGCAGATTTTATTCATTGTGAGAAACTGAAAGATCAACAGAAATCGACTGATCATTCTTAGAAAAACTGGCAAAATATAAATCAGTATGTTTTTTCTTTACTTCCACCTCCTCCCTTTCCCTGCACCCTGAGCTGGAGACAGCTGCTAGATCTCATTGCTCAAGAAACAACTCTCCCACTAGCCCTTGTTGCGCTTCAACTCAGAGACCTTGTAGCGAGGCGGGGCACGGTGGAACCACTCTGACCAGGAACCATCATAAACAGCCACATCACGCTTGCCGCACAGGTAGGCTGCCAAAGCAATGTGACATGCTGTGACACCTTTGCGGCATGTGGCCGTCAGTGGCTTTGAGAGATCCACATTCTTCTCACGGAATATTTGTTGGATCTCCTCAATACTCTTCTCGTGGCCAGTTTCTGTTAGGAATGAGCGGAAGGGTATGTTCACAGCGCCAGGGATGTGACCAGATTCCAGCCCTGGAAGAGTGAACAAGAGGAAAAATGAGCAAGGAAACATTAACAAAGGTGATGAAAGACACCTACAAAAGAGACCTTGAAGAGACATCACTGCAGATACTCCTGTTCCCTCCGAGTTACTAATTTGTTTCAGGTGATGATGAAGATGCAAAAACTTATGGGGCTAAAAAGAGGAGAACAAGGATTATTCAACTTTGCAGAAGTCAAAACTTCCAGAATATTTCCCCCTGAAAGCAAAGTGGGGTGGTTTAACCCCAGTTGGCAACTAAATACCACACAGCCTCTTGATCACTCTCCTGCAGTGGGATGGAGAAGAGAATCATAAAAGTAATAGTGAGAAAACTCGTGGTTTGAGATAAAGACAGTTTAATAGGTAAAGCAAAAGCCACGAGATCAAGCAAAGCAAAAGAAATTAATTCTCTGCTCCCCACCTGCAGGCAGGTGTTCAGCCATCTTCAGGAAAGCAGGGCTCCATCATGTGTAATGCTTATTTGGGAAGACAAACGCCATCACTCTGAACATCCACCTTTCCTTCTTCTTCTCCCAGCTTCATATGCTGAGCACAACATCACATGGGTATCCCTTGGGTCAGCTGGGGTCAGCTGTCCCAGCTGTGTCCCCTCCCAGCCTACTCATTGTTGGGGTGGTGTGAGAAGCAGAAAAGGCCTCGATGCTGTGTAAGCACTGCTCAACAGTAACTAAAGCATCCCTGTGTTATCAACACTTTCCAGCACAAATCCAAAACAGCCCCATAGCAGCTACTATGAAGAAAATTAACTACCCCAGCCAAAACCAGCACAGGTAGGAATCTGAAGAAACCCCAGACGTGTCAAGAATCAAAGAACCACCACAGAAAAGATCATAACAAAGGCATTAAGGGGATCTGTGTAAAGAGGAATGCAGCAGTGCATTTCTGATCTCCCCCAAGGATGCCAGCAGTGTGTGCTGGCTTTCAGAAGCCATACAGCTTTCAGAAGCAGGAAGTATGGCTTTATGTGAAATTTGTGAAAGTAGTTATTATCTGTTCACAGTTTATTCCTGTGGCACCTTAAAATCATATTTCAGAAAAGTAAAGCAGCCTTACAAGTCAGCCACATTACTGCTGAGGCAGCTATCCTGGGGCAATGGAGCCAGAGAAGTGAGAGTTTAGACTGTGTATCACTTTTTATCCACTCTATGGATGAAATCAGTGCAGGTTCTGTTTTTCTACTGGTATAACTGATCACTTCAGGCAAGTTGAAGGTTGCATCTCAAGAACAATGTCTTTAGAGAGGAGCAGATACAAAAATATGATGGATAAGATTTTCATCATGTCCCTGAAATTCAAACTCTGTCACTACAGACTTAATCAAAGTCCATTACACTCAGTGGAAACTTTTCCATTGACTTTGAGAGGCTTTGGATCAAGCCTCACTGGAGCAGAAAACATTATATATTATGTTGAAAATGCATTTCAGGGAATGGTTCCCTGCTAGCTTTGAATTTCTAATAAGACAGCACTGAGAAAGTCACATAAATAGTATTCTGTTTCACTGACAGCTTTCCACTTGCCTAAGTCATCAGGGCAAGTGATCCCAAAGAGATGGGAGAGATTGGGGCAGGGAACATTTATCACAGTCAAATGATTAAAGTCAGAGATTGACACCACACATCATAATGGCCTTGCAGTCTCTTCACTCATGCAGAGTGGTGTCATGACATGATGAGATATAAGTGGAAAACAGGGTTTTGGCAGGGTATTGAGGAGAGGATTTTTGCTCTGCTGGACAAGAGAGTGAGAGCCTAAAGACAACCAAAGCTGCCCTGAGTCAGCCTCACAAGATCTCTCCCTGTTCCAGATGGACTCTCTTTGTCTCCTGATTCCTCCTCCTTGAGTGCCTTAGAAATCTGGGACTGTTGTCTACTAGTCACCTCATGCATCCTTCAGAAGCATTTACCATTACAGGGAGAAGTCAGGAGAAAAAAATGCCGACTTCTGGAGGGACTAACATTAAAAAAAAACCCCAAACAAACCACACAGTGTTCTCTGTGCTCTTTCACTACATTTGTTCCAGTTCCACAAAACAACAGTCCATCACTTCAGCACAGAGAACTGCAAAACCCATGCTTATTATTATGGTCTCTGTATGACAGAGAGGAAATTAAAAAAATACAAAAAAATGAGTGTGAGAAAACATTGTTTGTAGCTCTCAGACTGCAGAGCTTCTTACTGGAGAGTTACACACCTTGGTTAGGCTACTGCTTTCCCACAGAGTGAATGGTCCTGACCCTGTCATTTGGCAAGGGATTTCTGCAAGGCTCTGCTTCAGTATTGGTGATCAATGAGTAGGCTTGGTGATCACAGACAAGTCTGTGAGCCACAGAGTAAATCTCACACCATCCTAGGGCACTGGGAAGTGTACTGAGATCAAGAAGTTCTGGAGCCAGCTCTTTCTCAAAGAAGCTTGCTGGGCCACCAATTCAGTTCTTAGGTGTCTCAGCACCATGGTCATAATTGCTTTTCCAGACTGTTCACACATTGTAAAACTGGTAGGCTTGCACTCTTCTCTTAGTGGAGACTGCTGTGACACACACTCACTACCCTTAAACAACTCTTCAGTTAGGAGCTGAGCAGATCTGAAAAGAACAGTCTTATTTTAGAGCATTTTTTACTTTGATCTATAAGGAGACTTCCTTTCTCCAGAGATTCAAAAGTCAGTTGGAGTCAGAGACCAGTGCTTGCACTCTGTGAGCAGAAGACGAGGAATTCTGTAGAAACTGCACTTACTCATGTATGTGTGCCTTCAGCTGAAAGAAGCAGTTGACACGGCACAACCACAGACCCTTGGACTGCCTAAGAAATGCTCTGGAGTTGTTGAGAAAGTTTTATCAGCTCTTTCTCTGCTAGGACAAGAGCAGAGAAACACAGTACTGGAAGGCAAGGGTGGATGCAGCTGGGATCTGAACAGGGGAGAGGATATATCTGCCCCTGCCTCATATGACACAGAGCATACTCCATTCCAGATTCATGCAGTCACTCTCAGAAACTCCAGGAAGGAACTCTAGGATTACAAAGCCTGGCTCCCAGTTACTACAGTGATCACTTTATAGGCTCCCTCTCATAAAAGCATCCATCTCAGAAACAGTTAGGACTCTTGCCATGAAACTTCCCACTGAGGCACCACATCACGTGAGGAATATTAATTTCCAATGTTAAGTTCATCACAGTCAGTCCATACACCATTCATCCTTGAGCTAACATTGCCCTGCTGCTGAAACAGTTTTTCTCCCTTTCTTCTAGTGCTCCAGCTACTGATGGTGAGCACTCAGCACTATTTCAACAGCCTCATGTCCTCAGCCTAAACCCAGTAAGAGCTCATTAGATACACTTTTCACCGCCTCAGCCACCCTAGGAACAGTTCTAGGTGACCACCAGGCTTCTGGATAAGGAAGTGGCACTTCCTCACACCTCAGTTGGTAGAGAGGAGGTTAATAACTGCTATTATCAAGGCCAAATCGCATCTGAGGTTCTTGTACCCAATGAATTCATCCAAGTCTTATCCTCTTCTATCACTTCCAAATGTGGGTCTTCAGCGTCTAAGAGAAACACAACAAATTGACCTGGGCTATTAATCATCCAACCTTGCTCTCTGTAGCGTTACACTTCCTGTCACTTCTATTACTGCAGGTGGTACCTCACAGAATACCCCATGTGATCATTTAAACCTTGCCAAGGCTGTGTCAGCAGCACATTTCAGTAGCAACTCCCTATTTTCAGTGCCTCAATGATTCAGAAAAATATGAAATAAAACATAGAAGTATAATGATGGGACCATGCTGGCAACTTCCAGCTCCACAGACCTGCTTTCAGCACAAGCTATTCTTACCCACCTTATCTCCCTTTCAGTCAGTTTTTGGGGAATCTAACAGTATCTGTGTTATCTGCCCTCTTCTCACACTGAACTAATAATTGCCCCTCTAATATTATGTCCAAAGAATTAATGAAGTCCAAATGGAACAAGTCCACCTCCTAGGTGCTTTCAAGGGCTGGAAGGAAAGATCAGACATAACTTCCAGGTATGCATGTTCCCATTTCTCTTACCTGGCAAATCAATTCTGTTGGCAAGGAAATAGAGCCCTTAGCTGCAGTGCAAGTTTACCAAGGTATTTTATTCAATTTTGCCTTCATTTCAAATATTTTTTCTTGAACAGTTTTTTGAAAGCCTTCCAGTGTATCCATGTTATGATAACAGATCAACAGCTGCCTAGGTTGTGCTGTACCTCCTATCCTAAATACAAATACAAACTTTGTTAGTGTTTCTGTCCTACAGAATCATGCTCTGATTAAATTATTAAATTCTTGCCTCCTGGAGTTCCTCATGGAGGAAATGTCACATGACTTATTTTTGACACATTTCAGATGGAAATTATCTGCCTCACAGATTTTAGCACATGGTTATCTTTTGGTTATACTCCCTCTTAGAAATGATCATTTCTACCTCTTTCCCCTTCTTGCTACCTCTCCCTCTACTCTGCAGACTTATCCTCAGGAGAAAAAAAAACCAAAACAACATGGTAGCACAGACTCAGTATAATTCTGAGGCTGTACACAAATAAGCTTTCATCTGGAACCCCTGCTAACTGCATAGCAACCCTATTTACTCTTTCTCTTTTTGTTCACTTTGCTCCAGCAGTTTTTGTTATTTAATTCCTTTTACCAAGTCTCACTCAGCTTGGCTTCTGGCAATCCTCCCTCACAATTTGTAACCTGTAATATGTTATCTTCTTCACTGCTTAATCCCCTTTTCCACATCTGTTAAGATTCTCTGCTTAAATACTTATTTTTTGTTTGCTATTTATCCAGCTAAGACTACAGTGCCTTCCCTCCAGCCTTTCCCTTTGCAATGAAAGCACTATATGGATTTTCTTAACGTTAAAAAGATAAAAGATGTGCCTTGTCCACATTTAAGTCCCTGTGGGCTTGGAGTTGGCCATCTGCAGATAGCTGTTATTTCCAAAAGCCCTGTCTGTTTCCTCCTTTTTTATCTCTCTTTTCCATTCAAATTCTGTGCCTCGGAAGGGACCACTAGTGGTCCCACCTAAGCTACCATGAACTCATTAGAAGGAACACGTTAAGCTTGGTCCTAGGCAGCTCCCTGAGAGTCCTCGCAGTCAGATCAATGGGCCTGCACCACCAATGTCAAAATACTGTGTGGATACACAGCCAGACTCTAAGAACCAGCAGGACCATGGTGCTAATTCTGGCAGCTGATGTTTGTCAACCTCATCACATGAATGGACAGCTTTGGACTGTAGATTCCTGCGGGCTGAAAAAGACTTTGATAAAGTCTCTCACTCTCCCATGTTGAGCCTTGAGTATTACTTCATGGTCAAAGTAGAGCCAGTCCACTCCCAGCTGCAGACTCCACTTGGAGAAGAGAGGGAAGAAGCAGCAAAGTTTCATTCTTACTCCCACTGCCTCTGAACATTCAAGCTGAGCAAAAGCTTTACATTTGGGGCAGGGAAGACTGAGAGCTGGAAAAATGAGCAAAACCTTCAGAGTTGTGTATGTGCAAGGGAGACAAGGACCACTCAAAGGCTTAGAATGAGAAGAAAAATAGTTGGAAGCTCATGAAATGACTTCGGGTTTGCTTTCTTTTTTAGATGATGGATTTCTTGTCTGGCAACTTTCCCCTCTTTCTCAGGTGTCTGCAAAATAATTCAGAAATTCACAACTTTTCTGTATGCATTTGCTCAGCTATAATTCCTGTTCCTCAGTTTTCAGTGCCCAATACTCAGAGAGAGTCAGCACTGCTAACCACTGTGTAATTATTTTTACCATCTGCCCCTGGATTGCCCAAGACTGTCTCAGGTCAGGCTGGTTCCACAGACCTCCATTCTGCAGCACATGAGTAAGCAGGCCCTTGCAGAATCTGGCTGGACCGTTGCTGAATCACAGCTAGTGAGCAGGAGCAGGTTACTAGCTTCACCAGAAACACAGCACTGTCCAGGGACACCTTTAACCTCTCAGTGCATAGGTCAGGGCTGCACATCTGATGGGCTTATGCTGCACACCATGCATGAACATCCAAGCTTTAGAATCCAAAGCAATACCTGCATTTAAGACCTATGAGACCAGGCTTATAGAAATGCTGTCCATTTTTTTTCCACCCTGGCAACCCGGGTAAACCTCTCCCAGTAACTACAAATTAGCCACATATTATGGCTTATCTTAAACACTACAGAGGTGTAAATCCCCGCAAAGTAGCTGTTGCATAAAAATAAAACAGTGACAACTAATTCTTACCACAAGAAACTGAAAAACTAAAGAGGCAAAAGAGACAGCTGAAATTAGCCTCTGCTAGAGATGGAGTTCATGGTACTGAAGAGATTAATTGACTTAATTAGGCAGTCAAGAGCTGAGGCAATAATTAAACTGGAATCACCTGAGAATGCAGCAAGTTCCTTAACCTCAAGACCATTCTTCTTCTCTAAATTGCAGGCAACGTTTCTCTTCCCTGATTGGATGACCCCTGTAATAATCAGCATTTATTTCAAATTGCTCTTTCAGGTGTAAGCGCTGCCTTTTACCCACTGCTGGCTGTAGTGTCAAGCTCCTGTGGAAAGACCAGCTGCAGCTGGAGTGCTTATTCTGCTGTGGGAAGCAAAACTGGACCACCACAAATAAACTGTTCCATGATGACTCATTTCAAAGGAAAAATCTGTTTTCAAGATGCTGTCAGAGGCTGTGGTATTTGTCACCTGGTGACACTCACTTTGGGAAAGAGAATGTGAAATCCACCAGATCCCAGTGAGCAGTGTTCTATTTGCATCTTAAGGTTAAAATTCAACCTTCACTTTTATGGGCTGCAGTAGGCAAAGAAATAGAATAAGTGATAAGCCTAACTCCCCCTCTCTCCCTGCAAGTCTCTTCTGTCACTCCCATTACCTCTCTCACCTTCTGCATAGTCTTGCACAGGTCGAGTGTGTTTGGGGGTCTCACTGTAGACACTTAACACGAACCACCTGTACAGAGCCATTTACAGCCAAACGCTCCTGCAGTTTTGAGACAGGAATTTATTTCAGGACATGGTGTCACACTCAATGGCTGTACAGCAGTACACACATAAGAGAACAGCCAGAACAGGATGACAACCGACCTGCAAGGCAGCAACACAGCACTACCTCGGGACTGCAGAAGCCTGCCGCACGCCCGCTCCTGCAGCATGGAGCTTGACTCAGACCCAACAACTGTTGCTGAGCTTTTCCGTGCTTTGTTTTTGAAACTCTGTATTCCTTTTTAAACTGTCTCTGTGATTCCCTTTCTGAGGAGAGGTTATTCTGGGATATACCAAGGCTTAAATTACACAGCAAGGGCCTCCTTTAACAAGCAACTTGAATTTCATTCCAGGCACATTGCTGTATTAGCTGTCCCAACTGCACAGGACTTCCCCCATCCCTGCTGCTTGCATGTCCAGTGTTTGGCCAAGGTAACAAAATCAATTTTTGTTCCTGTTACTTGAGGCATCCAAAAGAGAGAGTTTGACAGCCCATACATTCAGGAAGGGTTTGGGGCTTTTCTTACTTAAGCTTGTTAGATTTCATGTCAGAGTGCAAAAGGACAAAGATCAGCTCAGGCAAGCTCTCTATTTGCTGGAAACCAGAGTAAGAAGGGAAATATCTCTTGGGTTACTGTATAGCCTAAAACCTGGGATACTGCGGGTGCATTCATTATGGTGAGAGGTGCCTGTATGAATACTGATAGTTTGTGCGTATCTGCTAGTGTTAGATAGGACCCTGAGCAAACTCTCGGGAGCTCTCACCTCCCGTGTTTGCATTCTGATTAACTTCTGCAGGGTGTGGGATGAGGGATCCTGCAGCCAACTGACTGCAGATCTGTTCTGCTATTTCCTCCTGCAGCTTTACAACCAACTACAGGCAGCATTCTGCGAGGACACCGGGCTCTGAATGCTCAACGGTGGATCCCTTAAGGTAAATTAACGAGTTGGGCCAAGGCATGCCTGTGCATTAGGAAAATCTGTTTGCTGGCTGAGAGTTGTGACACCTGGACTAGTACTGACACTCATGCCGCTCTGGTGCAGGGGGCAGGTGCCGTTCCCACCTCCATTACCTTGGTCCAGCTCAGTCCCCCGGAACCGACTCTCGGGGCGGGAATCAACCACCTGGAACCGCAGGGACCCCACGTTCTGCATCATCTCC